CGGATCAACATCGACACGCTGCCGCGGGTCGAAAATAGTTTTGAGCCCCACGGATCAATCAGAAGGGAAGAACGGGGGGCTGGGGAGCGGATTCTCATTCAGACAGGTCGGAATGCGAAAACAATTATTCTCCGCCGTTCTCGGGATCTCCGATTCTCCGTGAGGACCAACTCAATGACCTTGCCCTTTCTTTCTGTAAAAACTCCCTGATTGCGATCAATCGGCCAGTGGACTTGGAACGGATGATCCTCTGTGAAAAATTGTGTTGAACCCGAATGAGCGGCTCCTGAGCCTCAGAAAAGTCGTTCGAGCGATTCGAGGGTCTTCTACGAGCTCAACGTCTAATGAATCCTCCGAGTATCGTATCACGCCGCTGTTAAGAACTGCTGGCTTAAACTTTCAGCGACGCCGGCGCTCGTATTTGATTTAATCTCATCAAAATCATATTAAACCGCTCTCGCGCGGAGAACCCGTCGGTCGGCAGAGCGATTTCGCCGAGCGACACTGCAATTTTTGTGGCGTTCTGTACACGACGAAATTCCTCTTTGATTAGGGTCGCGCTGCAGCTGATCGCTTGTTGTTCCACATTGGCGACGAATTCGGACCCGAAAGACCTCCTCATAACTAAGTTTTCTGTGCTCTCAAAGTCCCATCAGCGGCATGAGAGGAATTATGCGACGTCGACGCGAACACGTACCAAGGTGAGAATAGATTGACATCGACTCCCTACGACGAACTTTTCAGATCATCGATCTCGGGGAAGCTACTGTCGAAGGGTATTATGACCTTGACAGTTCTGGATGGACTTGGCCTGCAGCTGACAACAATTCGACATTTCGATAAGGCAAAGAATCGCGAAACCGTCCAGCGCGCGTCTTCTCTCCCAGCTGCCGCATACATTACAATCACGTGTTCGCTCGTGTGGACACAGTGTCCCGGGAGTACAAGGCGAGTCACCGAGACCGCGAAGAGCAAATATTGAGGTGCCGGTCGGTCGTTGTGTTCGCGCGTGTCGAATGAGAAGCCGTTTGGGATGAGAATCCTTCAGAACTCTCAATTATGCAACGCTCCGGTACTCCTACTCTATGAAGTCTCCTTGTTCGCATATTGTACGGAAATGCTCTTAAGCCGCGATCCGAGGTGCGGATCGATCCGCGATATTACTCATTGACTTTCCCTTGACCGTCCAGTCTCCTAAAATTCCAGGAGGATTGATTCAAAGTCCGCTGATTTGTGTCTCCCTCAATCCTGAAGATTCGTCGACCCCCTCACCTATTCCCTCCCTCCCTCCATCCCGGAGAGTCGCATTCTTACGAAAGATCAAATTTTGCTATCTATGATACTTTTTCATTTGATGAGCTTCCGTCACACTTCAGAAGTTTCTACCGATTTCATGTGGACTGTCGCTCCCTCCCCTGCAGCGGAGTAAAAGGTCAAGCTCCCACTCGCACCAACTTCGATTCGACGAATCATGTGAGCAAGTCCTTGCGGGCCGACCATGAAGAGACCCAGAGTTGGCTGACTGAGCTTCCCGGAGCGAAGGCAGGGTTTCCGTTTCGCGAGCGGATCGACTCACCCCAAAATGACTGCGATCTCGTTCTGATAGAATCACTTTTCGATTATGTCGGTTTGACAGACGGGCTGGAAAAATCCCGAAGATTACGTTGGAAGCTGCAACTCGGGAAACGGCCGGGATTTTTATGAGAGAATGGATGAATCGTCCTCTGCCAGCTCTGCGTCGGGGACACTTCCACATCCTCCCGGTGAGAGAGCGAGATAGGGAGGGAGTTCGTTCGCGAGACCCTCCCAAGCGCAGCCAGTGGGAAGGACGGACTCCATGTGACTGACAGACAGTGATTTTCGTTTGGCTTAATTTCACCGGGTGGCGCGCGTCATCAAGACCATTTTTATGCGGGCTCGCTCTCGCTCCCAGTAGTCTCTCTTCCGTGTTCTTCTGTTATCTCTCGGTTTTCGTCCGCTACGTGAGTCTGAATTTTTTCCGCTAGCTGGTCTGGAGATAAAAGGACAGAGATGATACAGAAAAAAATCCAAACGACCAACCGTCTCTAGGAAACGCAGCGCCATGATCATCATCTTCTCCGTTCAGTCAAGCGGCGGCGGCGGCGACGTTCATGACGTCCGCTGACGACGAACGCAAATCTCGGATCTGATGTGGGAATGGTCGCGGCGGCGGCCGAAAAGACTTTATGACTATCACCCCAGGCCCAGTTAGGGCCAAGAATACGAGCTCTACGAGCGACCGCTACAAACCCTGTGCCGACACCGAGCCAAAGCTCACTAAGCTACCGTGCACAGAAGCCATTCCCGCTGGCCATGACCAGGGGGGAGCTTCGACCGCGGCTGGTCGTCGGCTAGCGAATTAAGCTTGCGAACGGGAAAATATAGGCAAGTGGGCACACAGTCTACCTCGAGTCCCCTTTCTCTTTCCTATTTACCATATGAATATTCCGGGCGCTACGATCCGCGAAAGTGTCTCTTCCCGCCGCCAAGCGCTCGCCGCTTTTCTCGAGCGGATGGTCGCTCGCTCGTGTGGTCGGTGTCCCTTTGCGAATATATTAAAGGATTACACGACTCAGGCGAGCGGAGACATCTGTGACAGCTGGAGGAATTTGACTTCCTTCCTAAGGCGTCGCTCACGCGTGAATCCACCGCTCCTTACGGGGCTCGGCCAACGTACGGACGAGGTGCAACATAGGGAGCGCATCGGGACGAGTCGGATACGCTGAACTATCGAGATGATGTCTTCGGTGAGCTCGGGTTCACGATCAATCGCGTCCCCGTGGTATTCGCTTATTTTCCCCGATTCTTTCCCAATTGCGATACTTCCACTCGAGAGGATCCCGAAGGTTGGGAAAGCGTTCTTTCTTGGTCAAGTCTCTCCCGTATGGCCTCGAACGAGAACGGGACTTCTCTCTCCCCTCTTTGCATGTGCTTCGAAAATTTAGAATGTCCCTCCCACGCAAGTTACCATGGGATCCTCCTCTGACATTTACGGAGTGTTTCACGATGGAAAACGTGATTCTCGGCGACGTTTCGATCAGCGTCTTATATGCGTCAACGAATGCCGAAGACGGCGCTGCCAAAGACGGAGCTGTCGACGACGCATTCTTGAGTCCCACGGGGCGGAGTGGGATGGCATTTTTATGCAAAACGGTGGCCGGAATAATGTTGACCAGTTTGCTTGCTGCCCGCCTCTTCAGCTGAGGAGAGTTCCGCCAACAGCTGCTGGCGGTCTCGGAGCCCCGGCCAAGTATTCGGCCTACTTGGGACTTCAGTCAGGCTCGGTGTGGGGCGGTGGATGTTTCTTGCGCACGCTGCTGCCGAAATTCTGCCGCTCGTCACAGAGGAAACAGAATCGATGCGACGGGCGACAGAAGTAGAAGGGCTACTTCTCGCAGGAGAGCCGTCGTCGTTGGAAAGTTATGAGGAACTATGAGCGTGATTCTTTACCGTTGACAGTATCAGGAAGGAATCAGAAAGAACTCCTGATTTTCCATCGAAAACTTGAAGATTAGCCAGCTCAGATCAGACGGCGTAGTCTGACGAAGCTCATCGCTCCAACGCGTAAGCAGCGAGCACTTGCTCTCTCAATCCACGCTCGATCCCCGAGATGAGGATCCCTGGAAGCCCTGCCACGCATCCCGACACGATCAAGCTGCGGTTCTCTCATCAGCTGCTTACTGCAGTCGATACAGTTCCCCGTCCTATTTTCTACGAGGCCCGGAGATCTCATACAGCGGTCCTGTGAACCGTGATTCGTCCCGTTCCTACCTCGACGGCTCAGGCGGGTCAGGCAGGACCGTTGATGGAACAATTAATTGTGATTGATAGTTTCTAATCAAGCGAACAAATGAGAAGAAAACTATGTGTGCCATTGGAGAACGCCAGTCTATAAAAAAGCGATACGAAACTTCCCGCAGTGATTACGCGGGAAACATCCGCTTCAACCAGGGCTCTCGTATTCGCGACCATTCGGACCGACGTTGTGGTCCTCAGCTGGGCGTACCGCCCCACGTGCTCCCTGTTTATGACCGAGATCATCTGCGGGAAATCGATATCGCTGCACATCACTCGGGAATGATTCCATCATGTCTTCAGCTCACGTTGCCAAGACCATTCCGTGTGGCACTCGGAACAAAACGGGAGGAAGTACCGAATTCTCCCGCCAGCTCTCAGAATCGAAAATCGTGTTCTTGCCGCGGAATACTCAAGCGGCGCGGCATGGGGACTTGAGTAGCGCGAGTCCCTGCCATCCTCTGGGAGCGCCCATATTGTAATTATGATATAGGCACAGTGGTGAGGCGAGAAGCCGTGAGCGCAGGCTATCACGATGGTCGAAAGATCCCTTCCCTGGGAATCGGACGTTCAAGATTGAAGCGGAGACGACGTTCGTCCAATCAGTGTTCTCACTGCTCCCCCCGAGAAGAATGATGACCAGGGCATGAGACAGCAGAGAATATGCTAGAAATCACGGAATCGGAAAAATCACGCAATCTGAAGAACGTGGACGAACGATGATGTCCGAGGGCTGATTACTCCAGTGCAAAACATCTTCTGATCAACAGCAAGCGTCGCAGAGAAGCTCTCGCTTTGAACGTTCGCAACAGCTGGTGCGCGAGAGATCGGATAAGTGTACGATTTCACGTGTACGATAAGCCTCTCAAGTTCCACGTCATCGCAGTAACCATCGAGTCTTATGACCAGGGAAAGAAACCCGGAGGTGAAGATAGGTTGACCTGCTAAAGAAGTGAGGGGAGCGCCTTCCCGGCTTTGGCCAGGGCAAACATGTTGACGACCAGAGCTCACGAGATGTACCCCGGAACCGAAAAAACGTTTGGAACGATGCGGCTCCATCCGCCAGACCTGCTGCACCACATCGTGGAGCTCTGTCGACTGCTACGAAATTCGCGCGGGGCTTCGACTGCGTGGAGAACACCCTGTTGTGGGAAAACAGCCGAGCACAAACATTCGATTTCGAGATGGATGACATCATCCTCGAGAGTAATGACCAAGTGAGTTTCAAGGTGTGCTTGCCCATCGTGAGGAAGATGAAGGCTCTGCAAGTACTTTTCGGCGACGATGCGTTGACAGACAGACAAGATCGCTCGATACCGCTGCCGAAGGTGAACTCGGAATGCTTACGAATGATTCTCGTGTGGGCGGATCATCACGTCGACGATGAGGCTCATCTATCAGCGAGTCAGAGACAAGATCTTCTGGAATGGGAGTCCTACTTTTTCTCCGTCAGCTCTTCACAGCTCTTCGAGCTCGTATCGGCCGCGGACTACCTCGGACTTGTCGATCTTGTCGAAGCCGGCTGCAAAGTCATCGCAAAGCTGATCCGAGACAAGAGTACGGATCAACTCAGATTTATTCTCGGGATCCGGGATCCAGGTACTCGTTGAGTTCCGCGAGATGTCGACGAGGTTTGAAGCCCGAGATCAAGGAACTGAGTCAAGGAGCTCAAACGCATAAGTATACATGCGTCGTTCTGACCCTTATTAAGAAAATAAAGGTCGCATCGAATGTGTAGAATCGATCATTACGATCTCTCACCGAACGGACTGGGGCGTTGATTCTTCGATATTGCGGGATCGACGCCGCCCAGTGCTTGTTAGAAATATCACGACAGGAGAGAGGGAGCCGAAAAACGTCTCCCTTCATTACAATTGGTCAGACGTCTGTTACTCGGGCAAGGTGATGCCCTCCTCTCTGCCAGGCATAACGATTGCTGTCGAAATTTCCCGCCAAGTCTCTCAGATCGATCAAGCGATTGGACTATCGCAGTCGCGTAGAATTATTATAAGCATTATACTCGAAGATATCCGAAATCAGACGGAGCAAAACTAAGCCCTGAGCCTACGGCAAGCAAAACATCCCCTGTCTCTGGTCAACTATCAAAGGCTTCTGAAGTCCCTCGAATCGCTTCGAGAATGTAGCCCAATTTTCAGACTCTGACCTTCCTAGGCACTACCCCTGTCTCATGGGGAGATTCGGAACCTCAAATGGTATCGTCGGAATTTCTAGAGGAAACCTCAATGGAACGTCGCTGGCGAAATCGCTCGAACGAATATCGAATCCCTCCGACTTGGAGTCCATAAATGAAGAGACTCAAAAAATCTTCCATAGTCAGATAGTCTCTACTGGGACTCTCCACCAATGGTTGGACGGCGAATCGCCCGGGTCCTCGGCCGCGGTTCAGACAGAACTATGCGTCATGAAATCCTCCTCTATGACCTTCGATGCCCAATGTGCGATGGAACCTCTCGTTCCACCTATCGGAACCTTGAGAGAATCTGTCGTAGTTCCGCTTTTTCGATTCCTCTTCGTTGGAGCATTCAATGGAGAGATTTCGGAACATAGCCGTCATGATACCGATCACAGGTCGGTATCTTCCGGATTCATTCGACCGAGCTCGGGTCTTGAGACCTGAACGAAGGTCAGTCTGCTCTCTATTCCGACACTCTGACCCCTCTTCTTAAGGGCATTTTCTCGAATTCTCGCGAGGAACATGCAATCGGGGTACTAGGAATGGAGCAGGAATAGACATATCGATGTCTGGAAACAATCTCGAATATTCAGGAGCGCCTCTGCTGCTCACCACCCGCTGACGCTCGGGGAATGGTTCATCTGCCTGTGCCAGGGAAGGATGGAAGTCGCAAGAAAGATTCCCTGACTCTGACAGTCCTTGTCTCCCGAGGGAAGGCAGATTTCCGACGCAGAGAGCGTCGTCCTCCTCAACTAGGCGAGCGGAGCGAGCGTCGGATCTCGCAAGCAGAGGATTGAGTGAGACGTTCTCTTTTTCTCGAGGAAGAGGGCTACAAACCATTGAAAACGTTCTCTGCGAAGTGCCGCTATTGGACCTGTTTTCTGAAGTAGACCAAGGGCATCGAATTTGTCCTGATTGCTTTTCCCATCCCCCTCCCTGTGAGCACAATGCCAGATTTCGAAACGAAACTCGCGGACAGATGACAGGACGACACGGGTTCGCAACGGTGTGGTTCGCCCTTATTGTGCATACCTTCTTGACAGTCGCGACCAGCAATCTGAGCCGAACGCAACGTCCTGGAGCGACTTGGAAATATAACGAAATTCGGACGAGATCATCGCCCATGACAACTCCCCCACAGCTCCTTGCATCTCGGCGCGGACCAATTCCACGGTGATCGTGGTTCCGCTCCGGGTCTCCAGCTTGATAGGTTAGCTGGGACTGTCAGAGTCAGACCTTCAAGAGGAATGGCCGTGTGAGACGCTCACTCGCATGCTCCGAAGATCTTCTGAGGACCTTCGCGCAGCCATAGAAGCGGTTCGGCGAAGAAGATGGATCAGAGCTGAAGCTGTCCGCCGATGCGCAGTCAGAGGGGAAAAGACCTTATTTCAGACTCTGAACTCATGAAGCTCATCTTGAGCACCAACAAAGCTCGAAATGATCAGCGGAGCGATGCTTAGGACTAAGAGGATTGATCATCAGTCATCACTCGAAGATTCGATTTACAATCGGAATTCATCTTTTTCTTTATTAAGTTGGACGTTCGTGCCTTCTCGAAGATTGGTGGAGATGGGCTAATAGTGATGAATTCGATTCATATGAGCTGTGTAACCTTTCGGATCGACGACCCACATCGGGCGGATGTACGATCGAACGAAGTCAGGCGGAGGCCGTTGGCCCAAGAAGTTGCCCGCCGACCCACCTCCCGCAAGTATCTTAGCTCCTGGGAGATGCCACGGCGGACCAGGACGCGCAGCCACCCCGTCCATCCCCTGGATCCGCGCCCTCTGAGCGACGGGGCAGTAGCTCCGAGTGTGCGCAAAGTCCCCACCTTCATTGTTGCACAGATCGCACCTGTACTTGCGGAGGAAGGGGCATCGCACGACGCCGTTGATGTCCCGGAGGGCGTGGGCAGTATAAACCTCCAGAGCACGCCCATTTTTGAAGCAGAATCCACAGAAGGACACCACTCTGGGCCGTGGAAGATCTTCGTCGTCGGTCGGAGTTTCTTGCGCTTGAGCCAGGAAGTCATGCTCCATGCGACGTCGTGGCGCTCGTCTTCTGATAGACCCTCGGCTCCCGGAGTCAGAGGATTCTTCGTCCGACTCGTCGTCCGATAGTTGTGGCACCCATGCCCTCTGTCGGTTTGGAGTTGCTCCCCATTTCTTACACTTCCGCCTCCTCCCTAGGAACTCGAACGCAACCTCGTCGTCGGCATCGTAAGGGGACTCGTCGTTGCTGCTCCTTTTCGGTTCTTCTTCGGAAAAGCTTCCGATGAAGAGATCGTGGAAGTGGGCGATCATGGTGACGATTGAGAAGGCGAAAACTTCTCGATTCGAACGACCGAGTAGTGACCTGAGCGAGATCGTTCTCCTCTTTATATCGAGCCCGCACTCTCTCCGGTCCGAGGAGAGCGACCTGACTTCGGACGCCTCGCGCCAAGAGAAGAATGCGGGCTCTCACTCGAACCCATGTTCCGAACCCCGCGTCCGGGTCGCGGGTCAGTATCGGAATGTTTGGGGTCCGCTTATCGAGAACCGGGGTTGCGAAATCCAAAATCGATCTCAGACATCCGTAATCGCCTTCAATCACCCAACCCCCGTCGCTTAAGACTAGAGAAATGGTTCGCGGGCGTTGCTCGGCTACCCTCAAGTCAGAAGAGGCTCACGGCGTTCCCATTAACGAATTCCCCAAGAACCTGTGAGAGGAGGCGAGAAGACGAAATCGTCTACTTGGGTCGCTCTCCGAAGTAGATCAAAGAGAACAGCGTCTATCAGCCTGAACTTTGAAAATGTTTCCACGACACCGTCTGGAATTCTCTCTGGGTAAATCTTCGTGGTTCGTGCATTCTATACTTTTGAAAAGTCTGATCCAGCTACGATCGCTGATTGAGACCGTCTTGCGACCGCAAGTCCGGAGTGAGCGGAATTATTCCTCCTCCAGACGGCTCAGACGTTGACCGACGTCCGGCTCAAATACTATCCCGGTTTCTTTCGGAATTCTTCCGAGGAGGTCCGCGGACTAAGCAAACGGGACCTCAATCATTAACACGAAGGTGGCGTCACCTCAGCTATTCCTGCGAAGTGGAGAACTTCCGGATCTCCTCCAAAACGGTTTATTGAATCGAGACTCCCCTGAGAGGAGCATCGAAGATCCCCGAAATAAGCCTGAGAATAGACCACACGAGGAGACGGCGCGGTAGAGCGAGTCTCCCGAAATTCCAGCTCCCGACCTTCAGAAGAGTCTTCCCACCCATGGCGAAGGATAGAAATTCACGAGAGTAATGATGTGCCTTGAAAAGTTGGTCGATTAGTCACCGCGGGGTGAAAAGTTTCATTCGTTAGTGAGCCCTCCGCTGCGAGCCGGAAGAGAAAGGTTGAACATTCAATGCGGGATGGAACGTCGACCGGCTGGCTTCCCTTCCTGTCCGCTTGTTGGTCGGTCCGTTGGTTGGCTCTTCCGATGGTTAGCTGCGTGGGCTGTCGGACGATGGACCTGCTCGTGCTGACCAAGTCCGGGGATTTCGAGGGGCGCGGTGGTCGCTCGCTTGCCACCTAGCCCAGACGCTTGTTTGCGGGTGGCGGCGGTGGGGAGCGGATGCTCGCACGGGCGGATAGTTGAATGGGCGAGCCGTAGGATGGTCGACGGTGATATTTCCGGTAATTAATAAGGCCAAGCGAGAACACTATGCGTGGGCTGGAGCAACGACGCGTGATGCGTTGCTCTTTTCGCGGCCGGTCGAATAGATGGACGTTCGTACGGATGGATGCGAGCCGCGAAACGTAATGTTCCTGAGCCGGCGGGCAATCGAAAGTTTATGTAGAGTTCATCTGAACATGTTCCCCCTCTCAGATGGCTGGACAGCAGATCCCCACACCTCCACACTTCCTGCTCCGCGTTTCGAGCGTCTGTAGAGTATCCGGAGCGCAACGGTACGAGCAGACGTCATCCACATGCGATGAGGAGATCTGGGCGAAGGATTTGGCTGCCGGGACAAGTTTGGGGCATGGCTGCGGGCCGGCGCGGCGACGGAGGCCGGGGAGGCAACTGCTTTCCATACGACTGATTCTCCTCTTCCTCGGCGCCTCCCTACATTCGTCGCTGTTTACTCCGACAACGGGTTCGACAGTCGCTCGTCCGGCTGGCAAGCGTCGGCGGAGCGCGCTCAAGGACTCAGTGAGTTTTTCGGTGCGTGAACTGTAGATCCATATCCCAAGCCAGCGCTTATTGGGCCCAGCCTTGTGAGACGCATATACGGGGCTACGGAACTCTATGGAACATGCACGTTCAATATTTCCATGGAAATACCGGTACCCCCGAACGTTTCCCGCTTAGGAGGGAATTCTCACTTCCCTTGGACCGGGGGAAGCGCTTGGGAAGGGGCGGGGCGGGAGATCCTCAGAGACCCATCAGAGG